CTTTCATGGGATGACTCATTATCCTGAGATACTCAACTGTTCCACTCTGGGTTGTTCCCACCTTTATCATCCAAGAGCACCTGGTCCAGTTCAGGGACACTTCCCCACACTCCTGGTCCAGTCCAGGGGCTCTTCATTGCTCAGCTGGTTTGGTCAAGACTTGTCAGGAGCTCCTGAGATCATTGAACAGGCCTGAGGAGAATGGGGGGAGGATGCACCACCACAGAGGCTTCTAAGAAAGATGGGGAAAAACATTTTGTAGGGCCTAGATATGGTGTGATAGGACAAATGATTTTAAACTAAAACAAGGTAGATTTGAAGCAGATATAAGCAAGAATTTTTTACACTGAGGGTGGTGAAACACCAGCATAGGTTGCCCAGAGAAGTGATGCCTCATCCCTGGAAACATTCAAGGTCAGGTTGGATGGGGTTCTGAGCAACCTGATGTAAATGAACATGTCCTTGCTCATTACAGGGGAGTTGGAATAGAAGAACTCCAAAGGTCCATTCCTACCAAAACTCTCCCATCATTCTACTGGAGCCAAGGCTGACAAGGATCACCCAGGTTTCAGACCCAGCTGAGCATCCCCTTTGATGGCCCATCTGGCAACTCTGCTAAAAAGCTGCTGCAAAGAACCTCCAGACCTAAAGGAGCTTTTGTGCTGAGCTCCCCTGTGGCTTTTAGGGCTGGGGGGTTGGCTTTGGCAGCCAGGTGCCCACCAAGGCTCTCTCACTCCTCCTTCTCCACTCCCCTTGGTGTCTGCAGGGTTGTTTCTCCCCCATTTCTCTCACTCCTCCCTGGGTTACAGCACCCTGGATTTATCCTTTCTCCAAAGGGTTATCACACAGGTGCCTCTGGAATTGCTTTTTGGCTCAGCTTTGGGCACTGGCTGGTCCATTTTGGAGCCACCTGAAACTGGCTCTCTCTGACACAGAGTCAACTCTTGATCTCCTCTTCCCTAAGGGAAACCTGCAGCCCCCTCACTGCTACCAAAGCTGATCCACAGGGTGATTTCAAGTGCCCAGGAATACAGGAGGTCATTGAGCCCATTAATTCCTCAGGCTGGTTAAACAAGACTTTTTCCTCTTCCTGTCCCTGACTGCAGGTTCTTTCCGTCAGAGCAGAGCCCCCAAAACCTGTTTTAACTCCCCCAAATGCACCCAAACCCCCCCAAACCCCCATGCAACCCCCCCAGATCCCTTCAAATCTCCCCCAGCCTCCCCCTCAAATCCCTTCCAACCCCCAAAGAGGGATCACCCGGCACCCTGGGACAGGAACACAGTGGGCTGTACTGGGAGCACTGGGCTGTACTGGGAGGGCACTGGGGGGGCTCAGGTGTCCCGCGACAACGTGGCCCAGCTCCAGGAGAGATCTGGGCAGCAGTGAGGAGGTACTGGTCTGTACTGGTCTGTCCTGGTCTGTACTCCCAATCCCCAAAGCCCCTCCCCAGCTCCCCCAGGACCCTCCTGGACCCCAAAGCCCCCCAGGCCCCCCCAGGCCCCTGAGTTGGTCCTGCTGCCCCTTGAGCATCTGCAGCTCCTGCAGAACCAGGCATTTCTTTGCTCCCCACAGGGTCATTCCCACCCCCAGAATGGAATCTGGAGGCAGCAGGATGTGCACAATGCTCCCATTTCCTACAGTGCAAAGGGGCTGCAGGGAATGATTCCCCTGCTCTTGCAAATCTGCCAAAACCTGCAGGGCACAGAAGTGGGAGCTTCAGGAATTTGCTGGCCTTGGGAGTGGAGCTAACAGGGTATTGAGAGGAACATATCCCTCAAATACAATCTCTGTGCATACACAATATCTGTCTGGACAGACAGATAAAGCAATATTTAGATATATTCTGTATCATATATATGACACGTTTTCTAAAGAATCCATCCTTTGCTGTTGTATGATAGATCTGTAAGATATTACAAAGAATAAGCAATAATAAGGCAAGTGTCCTCCTTAGGGACACACACTTCAGAAGGGAACTTGCACTTGACCCCCCCCCCCCTTCAGCTTCGAGCCACCCGGTGCCACAGAGGGGGACAGAGCTCCTGTGGAACATTCTATTCCATTGACACAGAGCAAGGAATAAACCCAAAGTATTGCCTGGGTTTGTTCCCTGGGGGTCTGTGCAGCAGCAAGCCCAGCACCACACTGACTGCTCTGGGCTGTGCAGGCATTTGTGCTTCTGCCTGTCTCACACACACACACAAAAGTCTGGTGTAGTGCTGCCCTCAGGAAACCCCCCCAGCCTCGGTCCAGCTAAAGCCGTGGAATTTGTCTTTGTTTCCCTTGGGTTCAGGGTCAGGCTGTGCCTGTGTCCAGCCCAGAGGCTCAGAAAAGCATTTCTCCCGTCCCACTGCAATCTGCTGCTGCAGACAGGACCCAGGCACTGGTGGCACTGGGTGTGAACAGCAGAGTGTTTCCAGGGGCTCTCTGAAGGAACACAAGTGTCCAAAGAAACCAGCACAAGTGTCCACAGAAGTCCCAGTTCTTCATCCCTGAATGAGCTCGTTCAGCCCAGGAAAAACTGTCTAAGTTTTATTTCCATGGAAGGAGGTTTTTCCCACTTGAACACCAGTTTAGTTCCAAACCGGTTTCTTCATTTCCTCCTCCCAATTTCCCTGAAGGACACTGACAGGGACCATGGACACTGACAGGGATCACAGAGTTTGTCCCTTGGCCATACAGCTCCTGCTGTTTGGCAGCACAGGAGAGGTTAATTAGAGCCCAGGCTCCAATCCCAGGGCATCCATTGGATCAGCACTTGGGGATACAAACTGACTTTGGGCTCAGGATGCAGCTGTGAGCAGAGATTTCCCTGCAAAGTCTGCAGTGAGTCAAGCTCTGGAGAGGAGATTGTGCCCCATGGATGGGATTGCAGAGGCTCCCTCAGGTCCCCAGCATGAACCATCACTCTCTGCAAGTCCCTGCCAGGAGGTTGTAGCCAGGTGAGGGTGGGGCTCTTGTGCCAGGAAGCAGCAGTAGGACAAGAGGGCTGGGTCTTGAGCTGTGCCAGGGGAGGTTTAGGTTGGATATTAGGAAGCAATTTTTTGCCGAGAGAGTAATCTGGCATTGGAATGGGCTGGGCAGGGAGGGGGTGGAGTCAGCGTCCCTGGAGGTGTTGAAGGTGAGGGTGGATGTGGCCTCAGTGCCATGGTCTGGGAAGCACGGCGGGGTTGGATCAAGGGTTGAACTTGATGATCTTGGAGGTCTTTTCCAACGTGGCTGATTGTGTGATTCTCTGATTGCCATTCCTATGGCAGCACATGCTTGAGGCTCTATCCACAGGGTGATAGAGATGTCTGTCCATGTATATCTGCAGGGTTAGTCTGTAAATGTGTGGTGTTAGAAAAGCAGGCTAAGTTCTGGGATGGTTGTAGAAGGAGAAAGAAGCCCAGAGGCCAGTGCAAGCAGGCAGCCCTCAGCTTGCACATCATGTCCCCTCCGTGCAGGTTCCTGTCCTTGAGCCCAGGCCCTGAGGTGAGGCTGAGAAGTGGCGCGGAGGTGAGCCCAGAGCTGTCCCTGAGGTGAGGCTGAGAATAAGTGCAAGGCAGAGGTGGTGCTGAGGAACACAAACTGTGCCTGGCCACGCAGCCTGCAAGGAGAAGCAGAGACAGCCCTGGCAGTGTAAGGGCCAGGTTGTCCCTGTGCCTTCCCCTGGAGGCCCTGGCTGTCCCTGCTGGGCCCCTGTCCATCCCCATCAGGTCTCCCCCTGGCCCCCCCGGGCTGAGCTCCCCCCAGGAACTGCCGTGGAGCTGAAGCTGCTGCCATCCCCCCCCTGCAGCCGCTGGCCCAGCCAAGGGAGCAGCAAAGGCAGGGCCAGGAGCAGAGGCAGCAGCAGGGGAGCCCTGGGGGGGCCGGGAAGCTCTTGTGTGGGGCAGGAAAGAGGCACTGGGCACGAGGCCGTGGCTGTGCTGAGCAGGCCCAGCCCTCACATCCCCCCAGCCAACGCCGGCTGCCCGGGGGGCGCGGGAGGGACCCCCAGCCCGTGTGCCCCACACTCAGCTGGCAGAGAGAGAGCCAAGGGACAGGGCCACGGGCAGGGCCACGGGTGAGGGACAGGCAGGGCCATTGCAGGGCCATGGTGAGGGCACAGCCTGTGGCAGCAGAGCTGCCCAGGGCCAGGGGCAGCCAGGGCTGTTGGTCCCAGCCAGTGCTGGGGCCGAGCAGAGCACGAGGCCTCTTGCAGAGCCCTGGAGCAGCCTCCCACTTGCCAGCCCCGCATTGGTGGGGTGACACTGTCCCCTCCCTACAGGATACTCCTCCCAAAATCTTTGGGGGGGCCTTTTGTGTCTGTTCGTGGTTGCTGATTGATGCTGGGGACCTGAGGGAGCCTCTGCAATCCCATCCATGGGCCACAATCTCCTCTCCAGAGCTTGACTCACTGCAGACTTAGCAGGGAAATCTGTACTGGCAGCCTGAGTATGTCCTGACCCCCCATGTTCCCCCCAGAATATTTGGGACGCCTTCCCCCTTCCTAAGCAGGGGAAGCCTGGACATTGGGGATCCCTGGGATCCCCAGGACAAGAAAGTAGAGAACGTGGAGATGGGGAATGTCTGAGAACGCAGCAGCTCGAAGGCGAGAGTCAGAGGAGAAGGGACTTTTGGAACCCCCAACACTCCCAGCATCCCTAACTGAGACCCCCAGCATCCCAGACAGGAGAAACCCTCGGAACCCCAGAGCGGAGAGACCAGAGATGGGGAACTTCTGGGAGACATTTTTTAATGCTGAATCTTCATAGTTTGGAGTATTTTTTGGCTGAATCTCAACTTCTTGCCTTTTGAGGGGAGGGGTTCATCTCGCTATTTCTGCGGGGCTTTTTTTGCCTGAATCTCAGTGATTTTGGTTTTTCTGGGCTGAATCTTGGTGTTTTGGAGGTTTTTATGGTCACAGGATGCCCGGTGAGTTCTGGAGATGGACTTGGGCAGGAGGAACCCCCAAGCCAACACACTCAGCCCTTGTTTTCTCCCCCATCAGGATTTGTCCTTCCCAAAGCTTGGGCGGATGGAGGAGGAGGCTGTGAGGCAGAGGAAGATGCCTTGGGCCCCCCAGGCAGGTGAGGAGGAAGTCAGTGGCCCTTTGGGCGGGTGTTGTGCTGGCTCTGGCAGCCCAGCATGGCCCCCGGCTGCAGGACAACCCCGCTGCCGCCGCCGTCCTGCCGGGGCCGGAGTTGGGGGGATGTCCTTGGCCTTCCCTGTGGGCCGGAGGCAAATCCCCTCCCTGTCCTTCTTGCTTCCTGCCCCAGGCCCCGAGCTGAGGACGGAGAGCCCAGAGGACAAATCCCCCCGGCAGAGCCTGGTGGGAGAGGCCGTTTTGAAGGGCTCCACGGCGCAGGAAGGCAGCGGGGAGGAAAAGGTCCGGAGATCCCCCCGCAGGAGGGGCTCCAAAGCCAGCCCAGGGTGCTCTGAGGAGGAAAGACCCAGCCTGGGCCTGGAAGGCGGCCGGAGCTTGAGAGGGAGCTCTGACCTGGTTGTCCCTGAGCAGGCTCCCAGCAGGCAGAAGCCCTTCAGGTGCTTGGAATGTGGGAAGAGCTTCAGGAAGAGCTTCAACCTCCTCACCCACCAGCTCATCCACACTGGGGAACGGCCCTACACGTGTAGGAATTGTGGGAAGAGCTTCAATAGCAGCTCCAATCTCCACACCCACCAGCGAATTCACACCGGGGAACGGCTCTTCCCGTGTAGGGAATGTGGGAAGAGCTTCAGCCAGAACTCCACCCTTATCCGACACCAGCGCATCCACACTGGGGAACGGCCCTACTCGTGTAGGAAATGTGGGAAGAGCTTTAGCCAGAGGACCTACCTCCGCACCCACCAGCGCATCCACACTGGGGAACGGCGCTACAAATGCTTGGAATGTGGGAAGAGGTTTCAGACCAGCTCCAATCTTCTCTTAAATGAGCGGACACACACAGATGAGAGGCCCTTCCGCTGCACCGACTGCGGGAAGGGCTTCAAACTGAACTCCCACCTCATCAGGCACCAGCGAATCCACACCGGGGAGAGGCCCTACAAGTGTGTGGAGTGTGGGAAGAGCTTTGCCCAGAGCAGTAACTTGACCTCACACCAACGGACGCACCAGTAAGGGAAGCCCTAAAAATGCCCTGACTGCAGGAAGAGCTTTGGCCGCTGCTTCCACCCCGAATGAACCCCCTGATGGTGAGGCAACCCCTGGAGTCCAGTGACTGTCAGTCCATCCCTTTCGACCACAAAGGGCCAGTCCCCTTTCCCAGGGGCAGGTTCCTCCAGCAGAACCCTTCTTGGGGGTGTGTGGAGATTCCTGCCTTGGAGGGGAACCCCCAAGGTCACTGCTGGAGGTTTAAAGCAGAGATCTCCCCACCAGTGTTGGTCTGGGGGAGTTCCATCCATCTCTAATTAAGAATTCTTGCTTTTGTGCCAGCTTGAGTAGAATTGCTTCAACAATTGCTTTAGTGTAGAGCACTGTCCTATCTTATCCTGTACTCCTGGTAGTTTTAGTGTTTCTCTTGTGCAGTAAATAATTCTGATGAAGATCTTTGATCTGATCATTTGGAACCCTAAATAAATTCATTTCTATCAGTAGATTTGATTTGCCATCATTAAAACTTAGGGGACAAAAGTGTTTCAGTCACACCTCTCTAATTCCTCTAAATTGAAGCTGGTAGCATAATGCAAGGCTGAGATTGGATCCAGCAGCCCCCAGCACCCCACAGGAGGTTGGGAGCTCAGGGGGGCCACCCCCCTTTGCCAACCCCCCTCATGCCCAAAGACCCCCATTGGACCGTTGGACCCTCCAGACCACCCCCCTTTTCCACCCTTCTCCCTGTTCCTCCCACTTTCCCATTGTCCCCTCAATCCCCAATTCCCCCCCCAAACTGTTTTGGGGTCCCAACCTCCACTTTTTGCCCCCTCTCCTGTGGGTGCTGAAGGAAAAAATGAGGCTGCACACACAGAGTTCCATTGCAGGACTTGTCCGCCCATCCTTCCAGCGTCCCCCTTTCATTGGGGTTCCTTTGGAAACAGCACCTGGGCTTTGTCTTTTAGTCCACTGGAATTCCCAGGATCATCCCAAAACAGTGCCCTGATCTCACACATTCCCCTCCCCTCATGTGCTGGCTGTGTTCAGCCACCAGAGAAAAACACAGGCTACCATGCAGAGCGTTCCAAGTGGTTTCCACTTTGGCAAACAGCACTCTCTGGATGGAAAACACCAGTCAAGGCCAAAACACTCCTTGTTGATCCTGATTAACTGAGTGCAGCTGCTGCTGCCTTAACTTGTTCCCACAAAAATTCTCAGGATTCCTTTGCATCCAGGAGACCCCACATGTCACAATGGTCCCTGGATTCCATGAGCTTCCATGGTCTCCAAAGGTTCCTTTAGTTCCATGAGGCCCTGCAGTCCCCAAATACCCTTTGGATTCTCGGAGATTTCCCATTGTCCCAGGGTCCCTTGTGCTTCAGAAGGAGCTGCAGTGGGTTCCAGGCGGCCCTGCAGTTTCATAAGGACCACTTGAATCCAGGAGGTTCTGCAGGGTCCCAATGGCCCCTGGATTCTGGGAGGTTCAGAAATATGTCAGGGCTGAGAAAATTTGGATTGTTGAGGCTGGAGAAGAGAAGGCTTTGGGGTGATCTAATTGTGACCTTGCAGTGCCTGAAGGGAGCCAACAAGAAAGATGGAGAGAGACTTTGGACAAGGGCCTGGAGGGACAGGACAAGGGGCAGTGGCTTCACAAAGAGAGAGGGAAGGGTTGGAGGAGATAGTAACAAGGAATTCTTGACTCTGAGGGTGCTGAGATGCTCTTGAAGGCCCCTCCCAAACCAAACATTCCATGATTGTGGGACTGGTGGGTGAGGTGGTGGTCGGAACCGTCTGGGGTACAGGGACAGAAAATGAGGGAGTTTTCCATTGTGGGGGAAGGAAGGAGGGGGCAGCAGAACTGACCCCTTGGACACCTGGCAGGCAGGCTTTGGCTGGAAGCTGCTGATGGGGAGCTGAGTGAAGCCCCCACAATGCAGGAGGAAATGGTCAGTGACCTGCTCTGCCAGTGAGACCCCCCCAAGTGCCTGGGCCCACATGGGATGCAGCCAAGAGTCCTGAGGGAGCTGGAGAAAGAGCTGGCCAAGCCACTCTCACTCCTTCCCCAGCAGTGCTGCACAACTGCACAAGTCCCAGCTGACTGGCAACAAGCAAATGGGATGCCCATCCCCAGGAAGGGCCGAAAGGAGCATCTGGGCAACTCCTGGCCTGTCCCATTGACCTCAGGACCGGGGAAGGCCATGGAGCAGGTTGTGGTCTCACAAGGTGACTGGCTTTAGTTGTCTGCTGAATTTCTATCCTCATGTCAGTAATGACTGGAGTTTTCAAAATATTTGGGAATTGTATCCATACTGTTCCATTTGGGCTACAGTTCGGGTAGGGAAGCAATTGTCTCAAAGCCAGTAAAAAGAAACAATCCTGAAGCAGAGATTGAGGTAACTCACCCCACAATGACAGGGGGTAGTTCTCTCTCTTTCACTTAACCCCTGGGCAGTGACCATGAAGAACTGTCCCTGCTTCATGGTAGAAGCTCTACACACTTCAAGGAAGTCTGTGGAAGAATCTGACACATGAAAGTTGGATGGGGCTTTTATAGTTATCAAGGGTTTGACTGCCAGACATGTTTGCAGGCCAGGGAGCAGCTTATCTGTCAAATCTTGCTTCAAAAAGCAGGATGTGTGTTTGAAGTTTCATGAAGCATTTTGGGTTTAGCATAATTAAACATTAAAACAGCACCTTGGCACCAGCAGTAACTCACCACAGAGAGTGTGCATTGTTTGCATTCTCTGACCATTGTTTAGGTATTCTCAGAGCAGAGCATCCTGCCAGAAATGGCCCCTTGATTCCATGAGGTTCCAAACACTCTCAGGGTTCCTTTGGTTCCATGAGGCCTCTCACTGTCACAATGGACCCTTGGTTCCATGAGGTTCTAAAGTGTCAGAGTGGCCCTGATGATTTCATGAATTTCCACTATGTCCCAGGACTCCTTTGGTTCCATGAGGTTTGGTAGAGTCACAATGACCCCTGGATTCCAGGAGGCCCTGCAGTGTCCCAATGGCCACTTGGTTCCATGAGCTCCTGTTGTGGTTGAGCTCAATTTCCCCATCCCATGCTGTGCTCAGATGCCGGGAGAACTGCAGAGAACCAAGCTGAGAACACGGCGGGCCCTGGTCCTCTTTGGTGCCCGGGGCTGCCCCGACAGGGAGTC